ATCTAAAAAGCAAAATGAATACTTTAGTACCCAGGGTACCAAAAAAGTGTCCCAGAACTCCCTTTTTCACCCTACTATTTGACTAGTTGTTGTATATCTCGTCAGGATCACCAACCTTTCTTTTAACTTTTTCTGCCAAAATCCGGGCAGAATAACTATCTCCTACTCTTCTATAAGCAAGAACATATATGCCACATTTACGAAAGACCAAAACCATTTAGGAGAATGAAAGGAAGATTGAGATCAAAAAACTACATAATAAACTATTCTAAATATAATTCCATCATAAATGGACCAGCAAAAAAAGTAAAAAAGAAAAGTCAGCGATCCCGATGAGAAAAAAGAAAAATGTACTATTATAACCTGTGTCAGGTGAGTATAAAAATTATATACTCATAGCAACATTGCATATCTCTATTGTAAGGCTTCGCCTATACTATTAATTTCTCTCTAACCCTACTATTTCTGGAAGTCTTCGCCCAAGTTCTTCTAATCAGGTACTGTCATCGTCCCGCACTGACTCTTCAGTCTCCTGCGACTCTGAGCCAAACCCAGTAGCACCATGTCCTCTTATGCCAGACATGTAATTGCCATCTACCACGTCAGCCAGATATGGAAATGTAAACACCGTGTAACCTATGCCGATCGTTTGGAGGGGGTAAGCCAAATCCCCACTTTTTGTCGAAATTTTTGGAAGATCAGCAGCAACGAGAGAGTATAGTAAAGGAGACTACTTGTATAGGATAAAAGAGTGCGGCTTGAAACCAAAAAGTTTCAAAGTTTACTGTATCCCTGGGTTCTCAAGGAGTCCTAAAGGCTTCGCTAACAGAATTTCTTCCACCAAAATTTATACGCAATAGCAAGTGCCACCTGCATTTTCCTCCTTTGCGTCTATGCTTCTGACTTGCATGTTAGATATAGAGGGGAGTCCCGAAGCAGTTGTTGATCTCTCTAAAAACAACCAAGACTCCTCTCAAACTATAGTCTACAAAACTTCATCAACAGTAATGAAAATACCACCAGAATTATACTTTGCTTCATGCAGGGCGCCACCTGCTTGTGAAAATATATCGCTTCACCCTTTACAAATCCGGTTTTCAGCTTCTGGCTTGCATGCCAAATGTAGCAAGAAGTCTACTATGACCTCACTACAAACCGTTCTGTAGCTACACGACTCTCCAGTAAACTTTTTCTACTTTTTCTTTCTGTGAGGAGAGTAGTCCAAGTGATCGTTGGGGAGAGTTGAGTGATTATTTTTTTAGACCAGTTCAATTTCTAGAAATTTAAAAAATAATTATTGTTTTTTTCCAGTATTAAGGTGACCTCTTTGGCCAGGAAACGTTTTATTAGATAGTTATGTTTTTTAATTATAGTAAGGGTACATATAGCCACACGTGCACCTTTTGAGTGCCTAATTTAAGTAGTCCGCCCGAAGGTTCTACACTATCTGCCGTACCTGTACCCCAACTAGGGGGTACCCATTTAAACCCTCTGACCATAACCTACTTCCAAACCAATGGATACTACCTAACCTGAGGCGTAGCTTACTATACACAGGTAGTTCACTATTGCCTAATCTGATTTTGCACCCACTTTAGGACTTACTAACCCCAATGAGGCTAATCTATCCACAAGGTAAACCTAACAGAGTGGTCCATGTCCCACACATGTATTCACCTGCATGTTTGGTAATTTATTCCCAATTAGTACATATTGTCTGCCGCCATTGTGTTCATATCTCATGCTACCTTTTGGGGTGCTGCTATAACACAATCCGTATCTCAAGCACAATCTTCCTAATTAGTCTTCCATTACGTACTCCTGCCCTTGTATTGGTTCACAACAACCCCAGTACCCACATTCGAGCTGTCTCTTTACCCGGATTCTTTATCAGTCTATCCCTAACTTCCAGCCGGCAACCCGGAAGAGTTGGTCTGCCCAGGCTTTAGATGCCTGAAGGACGCCCTCCCCTTAGTCCATACTTTCGGAGCATATAGCCTTTTCCTCCGGTGCGTCTAAAACTGGCGGTTCGGCTGGTGTGTCCCCCCACTAAAGAACCTGATCGCTCGGTTCTCCAATCTCGGACCCCGGTTCTAATTCAGCCTTCATGTAGTACCGTCGAAGATCACTGCTACCTCCAAACTTGGGACTTCCCAAATAGGCTTCGATATCCGGTCCTGTGACACGTGCCATGCAAAGCCCACAGATTACAGCCTTCAGGAATCACCTCAACAGTGCCACCAAACACCGTCTCGACAGATCCTCCATGGGCCAACCTTAGTGAAGATCATCGCAGACTTTTCCCATATTACAAAAGCACCGTCTCTGGGATTTGAACATGGGATCTTCCTATAACGTTTGGTGAAAGTGACAACTAGACCACTTCACTAAGTCACCACACCTATAGCGGGTATTTCGCCTTTTTCAAATATTCTTTAATTTGATTATATTTGTTAGTTTCCATTTTTATCTATTATTTAACTTCTTTCTCTTTTTTTTTTTTAAAAAAAACTATAGTTAGGTTGTTCGGTAGCAGGGACTGACCTGCAAAGTTTTATATCATTTGGGAATGGGGAAGCAAGAAGATTTTGTTCAAATGAGTTGAACAGGATTTGGTACTTCCCACCAAGCCAAATTACAAAGATAAGTGTCTTTATAATTATTAAACTCCTCATAATATCTTTTTGATGGAGTTTTCAATGGTTCTAACCACTATAGTTGGTTTGTGAAATTGTCTTCACCTTCCTCGAGTGGTCCAGTATTCTGAACCACCAGGTTTTCTAGGCGAATTGGGGTCTTGTCCAAATATTCATCCACTATATAATTAAGTCCCAAGTTTGATTTTGAGAAGTCTGCTGTGGTTTCTTCATCATCTTCAGTGTCAGGTGTTGTCCAGTAGCTTTTGGCAACTTCTTGGATGGGATAATTTTTAATTGTGATCCATAGCCTTAGATCACACTTGCATTTAATGCAATCATCCTCTAGTAAGTATAGTTTATCACCACACCAGCATTGTGCATTGGGACTCTTTTAGTTATATTCCCAATGTTTACCTTTTGTTTTTGCACCTAATCTATTACTAATATGCTCTATATAGTACCAGGTACAATACTGATCATCATACCTTATACCCATGGGTGTGAACTCAACTTGTTCATAAGAGTATATTCCATAAAGTGCACATTCAGGTGGGTTAGGTTTCAATATGTTTCTTATCTCTTTATATTTTCTTTGAGGTGAACATTTAAAAATCTTATTATTTTTGGTTATTCTATTACTTAGTCCTACAAAATACACAGGTTTTATTTCTTCTTCTTCTTTTTCTTGTATAGCTTAGATAATGCATCCGCGTTATTATGTTTTTTACCGGCGTGATAAATTATAATAAAATTGTACGGTTCTAGTCTTAGGATCTATCTGGCATGTTTTCCCTTAAGTTCAGATGTCCTTAACTATTGAAGTGCCGAATGATTCGTTACAAGGTAAAATAGTTTGAAACCTAAGTATTGATGGAAATGTTCTACAGCCCAAATAACGGCTAAGCATTCCAACTCAGGTATTGAGTAATTTTTTTCATGCCTATTTAAACTTCGGCTTGCATAGGCAATAACATACTCTTTATTTTTTTCATCAAGTTGGGATAATACAGTTCCCAAACCTAGAGTGGAAGCATCTGTATTGAGATAAAATGGCTTGCTAAAATCTAGGTACTGCAATATCGGCGCAGTTATAAGGTGATTCTTAAGAGTATTGAATGCCTTATGTTGTTCCTGGTCCCATCTATAAAGCTCATTCCTCTGCAGTAATTGATTTAATAGTTTGGCTATCTTAGAAAAACCTTGGATAAACCTTCTATAATAGGACACTAGTACTATAAAAGCATGAACTTGTCTAAGAGTAGTAGGTATGGGGAAGTTTTTAATTTTCTCTACCTTTTCTTCATCGGGTAGAATTCCTTCTTGCCCAATCATGTGACCTAAAAATTTTATATGTTTCAGGAGAAATACACATTTCTCTGAATTACACTTTAGATTAGCCTTCGCCAAATATTCAAGAACTTGCTGAAGATGCAAAAGGTGGTCTTCAAACGTCTTTGAGTATATGTTGATATTATCGAGATACACTACTAAGAACTTATTAATAAAAGGCTCATGCACGTGGAGAGTGCATTACACAACCCAAAAGGAATAACATTAAATTGGTAGGTTCCAAACTTTGTTATAAAAGCAGTTTTCTTTTTGTCTTCTTCTCTAACTACTACCTGCCAATATCCACTTGCTAGGTCAAGACTGGAAAACTACTTAGCACTATTAAAGACCAATAGAATTTCTTGGATATTAGGTAAAGGATACACATCCTTTTCGGTTACCATATTTAACTTACAGTAATTGATACATATCCTTTTTTTATTATCTTTTTTTGGTACAATTACCACTGGCGACGCCCACGGGCTTTGCACTTCCTTTATTATACGGTGCTTTTTCATTTTTTCTAGCTCTTCTTATAGGAATTCTTGTTCGTCCGGGGTCATGCTATAACACCTTTGCTTGATTGGTCTGGCGTTCCTGATATTTATTTCATGACAAACTAAGTTGGTTTGACCTAAATCTACTATTTGTCCACTTTTACTAATCTTTTTCGCAAAGGTATGTGAATTTTCCTGTAACAAATCTTTAACTTGTTTGTACTGTTCTTTAGTCAGTTCTTTGTTGATATTAAATTCGATTTTAACTTGTTCTTCTTCTACTATATCAGTTAGGTACATAGCCAGGTTTTCTTGTGTCTATGGGTTATAAAATAGATCATCATCTTCTGAACTTACAGTATCAGAATAGAATGCTTCTTGTACCAATTCTTCCTCTTTATCCTCAAGTTCATCGATCCACTTGTTTTCGTCGGTGAATTCTTCAAGATCTTGGGGTGGGGCTTGATTAATAACATGAGTAGTATTAACAGTTACTTGTTTATTCAAGTATTTAACGTATAAGGTATTTTTATAAAAATCTAATTTTGCCTTAGATTTATCTATCCAATCTGTTCCCAATAACAAAGTCTCTTCCTGAGACTTTATTACCTGTAGGTCGATTGAGATTATTATATTTTATAATGTTATTTTTACACTACTTATAACCCCAAGGGCCTTAACCCTATTCCCATTAGCCATTATAACTATTGTCTTTGAAGATCTACTTGTTTTTAATTTTAATTTCTCTATTAATCTTCTAGTTATTATACTCACAGCTACCCCAGAGTTCAAAATAGCGACAACCGGGGTCCTTTAATGCAAATATAGCATTGCATGGCAATCGTTTTCTGTGAATTATCCGATGTTATGTGATTAGCTTTACTTTTTGGATCTTTTTTCCTTTTTAAAGCTTTAGCTAAATTCCATTTTTGGTCTGGATATTTAAGTAATTGACCATAAGTAGCTTGTGCCCTTGTACTTAACAAGTCTTCTGATATATCATAGGGCCTAGGCTTATCAATCTTCAATAGTAATCGTTTTTAATGATTTTTTTAGGTTTTCTACCTCCATCGGAACTTCCTCTTCTTGTTCTGATTCTGCTTGCACTTGAACCTTAGGAGCTTTGTTTAGCAAAGCTTGCTCCTTCTTAGATTCACTTCATTTTTGCTTATCCTTTTGCTCCTTCCGATTAGTACTATAAGGTTGGGGGCGAATTACGTATAATTCATCATCGCTATCACTACTTTCCATTATCTTTAGGTTTCTTTTTTATCTTATATTGTAGCTCTATTACCACTGCCTTCTCAGAGAGGCAATTCTTTGCAAAATGCCCAAGTTCGCCACACTTAAAACACGTGACA